TTCTGATAACCTGCCTGTTTCTGGCAGACTGGGCCTAGGACAGTGGGTTCTGTTCCCACTTTGCCACTAATGATGTGGCCTTGAGCAAGTCCTAAGACTTCTCTGGACATTTCTTTCCTTATCTGGAATGCAAAGAGGTTGGGCTAGTTTATTTCCCAGGTTCCCCATAAGCATTATATTTGAAAACCACGATTCCCAGCCAGTCCCAATCCTTCTGTAAGAGTCTTCATTCCTTCAAAAGTGGACAATCTCCCACCCTTAAATTCATGCACTTTCCTCAAAAGTGTAGAAGGTAAAGGCAGAACCCAAAGTCTGGCTAATATCGGCATATCTATGAGGACAGGAGGGAGCTGCTACATTGAGACCCCTGGGAGACCTCAGACTGAGTCCCTGCCCCTGCTTGTCCCAGCACCTCTGCTTTTCTTTCTCGAAAGAAAATAAACTACTACACCTTAGAGCTGGAGGAAACAGCCATCATTGAGCGAAACCTTCTCTGGTTACAGGTGAGGAAACCAAACAAGCGACAATTCCTAGGCATCTCCTCTGGATTCTCACGGATGTCTTTCTTCTCACCCCACCCCAGCCCTGCAGGAGCTCTGGGCAATTTTCCTAGCCCCCTGTAGAGTTCCTCAGGGCCTCAGAGGGTAATCAACAAACATTTACTTAGCCCTCAGGGCAATCCCCCAAGGAGCAGTTTTAATCTTTCAACTGGTACAGGCTCTGGGAACATTTAGCCCAGCATAGTGACAGTGACAGCTATAGCAAGACACAAATTAATTGATCTTATCAGTGTGGAACTCCACTGGTATTGTACTCTAAAAGAAAAGCTTGCAGCAGCACAGACAGTAGATAAGGATAGGTTAGGGAGATAGGGAGGCTCCATGAGGCTGGGGTTCTGATCTCCTACCTGGCGCGTAGTTGATACTAAGTAAATATTTGCTGAACAAATTCAAATTTGCACATTATCTCTGCTCCATTTACTTCTTGTCAAAAAGTCTGAGGTTACAATAATATTAAGGATGAGGATCTCTGCTCAGAGAAAATCACGAACAGGCCGGGCGTGGTGGCTCAAGCCTGTAATCCCAGCACTTTGGGTGGCCGAGACGGGTGGATCACGAGGTCAGGAGATCGAGACCATCCTGGCTAACACTGTGAAACCCCGTCTCCACTAAAAAAATACAAAAAACTAGCTGGGCGAAGTGGCGGGTACCTGTAGTCCCAGCTACTTGGGAGGCTGAGGCAGGAGAATGGCGTAAACCAGGGAGGCGGAACTTGCAGTGAGCTGAGATCCGGCCACTGCACTCCAGCCTGGGCGACAGAGGGAGACTCCGTCTCAAAAAAAAAAAAAAAAAAAAAAAAAAAAAAAATCAGGAACAAACACTGGTTTCATACTCTCACTATGTGGCTGGGGAGGCAGCCCAGAGTGTGGAGAGAAGAGGCTGGCCTTGTGAGTCAGACAGACCCCAGGGTGTAAAAATCTCATCTCAGGATGGGCACAGTGGCTCACGTCTGTAATCTCAGCACTTTGGGAGGCTGAAGCTGGTGGATCACCTGAGGTCAGGAGTTCAAGACCAGCCTGGCCAACGTGGTGAAATCCCATCTCTACTAAAAATACAGAAATTAGCTGGGCATAGTGGCAGTCACATGTAATGCCAACTACTTAGGAGGCTGAGACAGGAGAATCACTTGAACCTGGGAGGCAAAGGTTGCAGTGAGCTGAGACAGCGCCACTGCACTCCAGCCTGGGCAACAAGAGTGAAACTCCATCTTAAAAAATAAAAAATAAAATAAAAAAAAACCTCTCATCTCTACAACCTTGGCTATAGTTGTTGAGTTTCTTTTTGCTTCACTTGCCACACCATGTTGTCTGAGGTTCTAAAAGATGGCAGAGATAATGCATACAAAGTATAGACCTAACTCCATGAATGTCAGTTCCATCCTCTTTCCTTGGAGCTGTGGGTATAGAGAGAGAAACTCTGTTTCTAGGAAAGGCTCCAGGCCATCAGCATCCTCCTCCAAAGAGGCAAACCAGCAAAAGGATGCTGACATCATTTTAAAATGACTCAATATAGTTTTCATAAATATATTCCCACTAAGTCATCTTATTTCTAAATTATGTATAGAGAACATAAAGAGCAATTCAATATACATGTCAAATGTTTTATACTTTCCATATCTAAGTTAAACACCAAACATGTCTATATACCTCAATCCTTTGTTGTGAATAAACAAAGAGGGGAGCTAGAACTAGGAAGAAAAAAAGGATACATTCTTTCTCTCTCTCTCTCTTTTTTTTTTTTTTTCTTGAGATGGAGTGTTGCTCTGTCACCCAGGCTGGAATGCAGTGGTGCGATCTCAGCTCACTGCAACCTCTGCCTCCCAGGTTCAAGTGATTCTCCTGCCTCAGCCTCCCCAGTAGCTGGGGCTACAGGTGTGTGCCACCATGCCTGGCTAATTTTTGTATTTTTAGTAGAGACGGGGTTTTGCCACGTTGGCCAGGCTGGTCTCGAACTCCTGAACTCAGGTCATTCATCAGCCTTGGCCTCCCACAGTGCTGGGATTACAGGCATGAGCCACTGTGCTCAGCCAAATGATTTTTTCATCTATAAAATGGAGTTGGGATAGATGAAGAATATGAACTTTAGCCTAAAAATTAAGTGACTTTAAGATGCAGAGATTGAGGGAAATAATATAATGACAGAGATGTTTATCTACCAGAAGACAGAGTCATGTAGAATAATTTAATGGCATGACTGTGTAGTGTTGTCACTATATATATTGCTAACAAACAAGTTACAGTGGTTTTGCAAACTCTGGCCATGGGACAAGGTGTCATCACTTATTCCACAGAAAAGAAACTGGTTTGCAGGCAGTATGTTCCCCAGTACTGTGATCACACAGCAGAGAGCCATGAGATGATGCGGGGCGGGAGGTGCAATAATACCACCATTCCCTGACTCTCTGGAAAGTATTTGCTTTTATCTGATTATGCATATAATCCATTAACATTCATGATATAAACATTTTGAGCATAGACATATCTCTGGTAGAAACAGGATTTGAAACTAGCATCTCAAATCTCAGGTTTATACCTTCCTCTGCTTCACAGAAGTTGGCAATTGTTAATCTTCGTCACCAGCCATGACAGTGCTTTTAAAATGCAGATTCCCTTGCCCCACCTGGGAATCCACATTTTGACAAGTTCCCCAGGTAGATTCTTGTCCATACTAAATTGATGGTCACTGGGACTAACCCAGAATAAATCAGTGGTAATAGGAGGTGTGTGCTTTCCATGATAAAATTAACAAATTAAAATGAGTCTTAAAGATAAGGCTTTATGTATAGATGCACATTATATTAAATTTATATATCTATACAAGGTTGTGAGGGGAAGGGAACCAATATTAATTAATTGCCTGCTACGGTATATAGAGATCCTGACCAAATTATATATTAGTTGGTTTTCCAAATAATCCTATATGAGTTACGGATGGAAAAAGTCAGGCTTAGAGAGAAACTCTTCTAAAGTCACAAGTCTGGAAAGTGGCCCAGCTAGGTTGTGAAACTAGATTTATCTGACCCCAGTCTCCTCATTCCATTGTACTAAGCTCATATGCACGTGAAAACACGCAGACACGCATATGTCATACAATAGCCATATGGTAAAAGGCAATGGAATGACATTATTGTTAGAAACTTTTTGCATCAACAGAAATGTAGTTTTTAAAGGACTCATTCTATTAAGGGATATTCTTTAATTTGTATGCTGACAACAGAATACAGTGTATGACTACTATTAAAACCACATTTGACAGCTTGAATTTTCATAATCAGAAATGTGTTCTGGGACTTGCCAGGGACAAATTTAAGAGTGATTCTTGATTTGTGTAAGCTACACACTTATGTAAATTAAACCACTTAATATTCATCATATACGTCATATTACCTTAAAAAGGAAAACACCAACAATGTAACTTCGCACTTGTCAATCCAAGAGTCTTCCTAAGCTCATCCCTCACCTTCCAGGGTCTGACGTACCTGGTTCCCTCCATTGGGAACCTCCTTCCGCTGGCTTCTGGAGTTGCGTTCCTCCATGGTTTTTCCTTACTATCCTGCCAGGCTTCTATCTGCCTCCCTGGATCTTCCATTCTTTTCGCAAAAGGCTCCATCCTCAACCATTTTCCCCCTATATTCTCTCTCAAAAATCTCTTTTCCCGTCTCTTGATATTCTCTCTCAACAATCTCTTTTCCTGTCTCTTGACTTTTTTGTTATAAACCAAAGACTCCCAAAGGAGCCCTGGCCTTCCTGTGGAGCACAAAGCCCCCTTCTGCCTGGGAGACAGCATGCTTCAACACTGCAAACACAGCACCTCTAAAATGCAGCTCCTTACCTCCTTCTGAGTTTCTTCCATGGGTACTACTGCTCTGGAAACTGCAGTGTCAGCTTTAGCTGTTCCTTCTCCACTGACACATCAGATTCTGTCAGTTCTTCCCTCTGCATCTGTTCCTTTCCCATTTCATTGTTATCAACCATTTCAGGCCTTTCCTGCCCCTCTTTTTCCTTGGTGGGTCATAGCAGCTTAACTGGCCTTCTGGCCTCTAGTTTCTGCCCTGCCTCTCCTCCTGATCTCCCCCAAGCTACTCACAAGAGCCTGGTCCTGAAGCACAGCCACAACACTCCCCTGTTCAAGTATCCTTAATGACACCTATTGGTTAATGCATTCACATTTCCCAATTGGCATTCAAGACTGTATCATTTGGCACCGAATGTTCTACAGTTTTGATGCCTGTATATAGACCAGTTCTAACTCAATTGGACTTGACTCTTTTCCCTGAATATGCTCCACATTTCTTCATCTCCTACTAGTCCTCCTATCTCAAATGCCTCTTCCCCGTTCTTTTATTGAAATGCCACATCATTCAAGGACTTGCTTAGATGCTTTTTCTCAAGAGCCTCTCGACTGCTAGGGATAAAAGGGACCCCTTCCTCCTCAAATTACCAAAATATCTTCTTTTTGCATTTATCAGATGGTTATTTCTGCATATCTTCTTTCCTCAACAGAGTCTGAGAACGAAGAGACCAGATTTTTGTGGCAGCTGAATTCTCCATTCTCTCTAGCACAGTCATACTTGTAGTGGATTGCTGTACAGCATTCATAGAACACCTTAAAGTTTACAAAGCATGTTCACATTCAACATCTCATTTGTTTTATTTGGGGATTAAGTTATCACAGGTAACTTAGCATTCAAGTCTTGCAGTTTGATTTCTGTGGCTTATTGCAATTCTTAGAGCTATCTCTAATCTTCTACCTTATAAATTAAACAAACATATTTCTTAAATTACTTTACTTTTGAATACCCACAGTCTTCTGTGGCCTACAAAGCTAAGAGAAGAGAACGTTTCAAATCAAACAAAACCCGCTTGCCAAACTGCTTTTTCTTGGATTCTGAGTTAAATGTACAAATAAAAAGGCCTCTATAAGCAGGTAACAAGAATGACAAAATCAAAATTTTAAAGAGAAGTGTGAAATTCCTTTCTAAAGATATTAAGATTTTTAAAATGGCTTTCCTATATATCCATTTGGAATTCTACATATGGGTCAATCTCCAACATCCATGAGCTGATGTTCCAGCATATTAACAATAGAAAATTGCTAACAGTTGAACAACAAATTCTTTGCTAAGAGACTGGAAATGACTAATATGATTGTAAAAACAAATCTGCCTGGTCTTGAGTACCCAAGTGCCTTGTAGAAGCTCAATAAACATTTGTTGATGAAAAATAAATCAGTGAATTCAGAGAAGGTCTTACTATCATTTATAAATTGAGGGCATAAGTTTTAATAGATGGGCGGAAGTATAGATTTAAGTGGAGAAAAAAGAAAAATTGAATTTAGAGGTAGAAATTTTGGTATGTCTATGACTCTGGTCTGTCCCTGTGATGGACCCCACTCTGCAACTGCTGGAGAAGCAGGGAAGGAGGTGGGGGTGAATGGCAAGCACCATCCATCCTACCGTGCCTCTCTGGAATCAGGCTGCAAGCTCCTCCAGGATGGTCACTTTGCAGTCCTGGCACAGTGCTGTGCCCACAGAAGGGACTTCATACATGTAGTATGAGATGCAAAGCCCTCCATGACCTGTCTCTATTTTCACATTTCAATCCTTTACGCCTATTCTTCCTCACCTCATAGGGCTATCGTGAGGGGTAAATAAAAAATACTGTGCTTAAAGCCCTTCACACGCTGCCTAGCATACACATGCATACAAATGCTTGATAAATGGTAGTTGTTATTGTCACCATCTGGGACTTCGTATATGGCTCCAAGGTAGAGCTTAGTGTGTTGGGCCGTCAATACTTGGCTGTGACAGCTGCAAGGGTCCTGGGGATGGTCTCTTCACGTTTGTATACTCTGTGCCTAGCAGAGCGCTCACCTCACAGAGGGCCCTGAAGCTGGCTACGTGACTGAGCAACGAAGATCCAAGGTCCAGTCCTGCCTTGACCCCAACTCACTGGGTAACCCTGAAGCGTCATCTAAACTCTCTGGGCCTCAGCAATGTCAGTGCATCTTTCCAGCCTAGGGAAACTAGAGATCTGTGAAGAGACATGTAGAAGACTCCAGAACAATTGCTGACAGAACTGGAATGAGAAACCAGCTGTCCTAAGGCCTTGATCTCCTAGTTCCCCTTCATCACGGGGGCTTTACACATCCGGTCTCCCAGTAACACATCACTTGAGTGTCATGGTCACTTTGTAACCCCAAAACTTGATGGATTGCTGTCTTGAATCATATACCCTTTGGGAGTCCCTCAGAAAGACCATTTCCTGTCTCATGTAGACTAAGGAGAGACGCGAATTTAGTTACCTCAGTTAGAACGGACCAGCTTTAACAGAGTTAGATTCCTGTGCTTTGGAAGAAATCACTTGGAAATCCTTGGTTCTGAGTCCTCCATTTCTTCCACATCAAGATCTAAAAAGAAAAAGAAAAGTGCAGTGTCCCATGACTAGTTGCTAGGATTTGATGTTTTAACAACAATAACTGCAATTAGCACATACTGAACACATAAGTCAAGCACCCACAAAGTGGTTGACATATGTGGTTTCGTGTTGTCTTCATAACAACCTTCAGATGTAGGGAACATTCCCCCATTTTACAGCTATAGAAACGGAGACTCTAATGGGCCACAGAACTTGTTCGAGGTCACACAACTGGTTTATGTGATAACTAGGACTCAAATCCAGATTCAATTGATTCCAAAGCCTGGGCCATTAACCAGTAAGTCAGGGTTTTAAAAACTTTTCAGCCAGTGACCCACTGTTTTAAAAATTTATGTTATATAAACTGAAAACCAAAAGTCTCATAAGACAATGCTTATCTTCACTATGTGCAATGCATGTTATTTTCTATTCTATGTTTCTCTGTATTGTACTGTATATTCTATATCGTTAAGATTTCCAGTAGCAACCCACTAAACTGATCCCACAGTCTTCTAATGGGTCCCCCACTCTTGAAAAACACTACACTTAGATATAGCGCCTCACTAGCTGCTTCTCTGAAACCAGGACAAAACTCTTCCACATTTTTTTAACCATGAGAATCTGACCAAGTAGTTGAGCTTCACAGAAGAAAAGTCTTTAACCTTTAAAATGTGTATAAGGCACTATAACACATATCACCTATAATCGATCCTTAGAAGGGATATTCAATTAGGGCCAACGTCCTGAATGGAATTAGGCACTTACCTACCGCAGTGCAGGAGTTATAAAGCGGAACCGCGGACAGACTAAAATCTCAGGTGATTTATGATGTACCCTACAAAAAAGTGGCTAACGGCAGGCGGTTGTGTTGTATGTTGTACCAACAGTTCAGACCTAACTACTGCAGAAGTAGGCGGCTGAGACTGCAAACCCCTGGGGGCAGGGCTCTGCCTTTGCACGTCCCGTTCAATTCCAGAGTCTTGGTGTTGCATCAAGGAAATTATCAAGTTCCCGTAGGGTCAGGACTAGGGTCCGATTCTCAATCCAGGAGACAGGAGGTGTGACTGTCAACGCAGTGCCCGAGCCCGCTGGACTCGAGCCCACCACGTCCCCAGTCCCGGGAGCGCATTCCTCCTCGGCCCCCGCCCTCTAGCACAGCCGCGCAGTTGGGCCACGAGATGCGGCGCAACCTGCCCGCACTCTCCAGCCGAACCCAACCCGCCCCGCCCCGCTCCGCTCCGGGCGCGGGCCCCGGAGTCCGGGCACCTGCGGGCGCTTCCTCCCCGCGGGCAGCTCGGCTCTGCTGCGTTTTCGAAGCTCAACCCTTACGAGGGTTTCCCCAGCTCGGCTTCCCGGCTCCCTCCAGAAGCGAGGTGCAGTCGGGCTGGCGGCGCCCCGGGCCTCATGCCCGCAGGCCGCGCCTCGCCCCGCCCCCGGCCCCGTGAAGACCCTGCAAGGGGCACTTACGGGGCTCGGCTCCTCAGCCGCCGGCGCGTTTCCCCGGGGGTCCATGGTGCTTCCGGACCCGTGAGTCCGGCCGCGGCGCTGCACAGCACCGCCCAGAAAATGGACGCCGGCGGCTCGGCTCTGCCGGCCCGGCCCGCCCCCGGCGCGGGGCAGAGGACGCAGCCCGTCCGGGAGGAGGTCGGCCCGACCCGCAGCCCTGCGGGCCCGGGGCTGGGGGAACCGCGGCGCCAAGGATCAGGCCTCAGGAGGGCGGCGGCGGGACCTACGAGGGCCCCGCAAGGCCCCATGCCTGACCCAGGGGCCAGCCGGGGCCCCCCACCAAGTAGGCAGCGGCCTCAGCCTCCTCTGGGAGGACACAATTCGGAACCTGCCGAAGGTCAACGCAGTTAGGACTCTGGGCCACACAACCTGGTGACTGTCAGAACAAGGCCCCGGGCCGCAGAAGTGTCCGTGAGCTCCTGTTCCAGACTCTGCACACAGGATTCGCAGAGTCCGGTGCTGTTTCAATTGCATCAAATGCTCAGGAATAAGGAGTCACCTGTGTTTTTCCATGGCCGTCAAGAGAGGCCTAGATTGATTTTTCCCAACGTGGCACAGAAACTATTTCACGCGAAAGACCCAGTCCTCTTCTTTAAATGAAGGGCCCTGGCCGCTGGCATCTTTCTTCCAAGATCCAGGGACTGCTCATTGAAAAAGTATTCAGAGAGGGCCTGCCACAAGCTGGCCATGTGGAGCTAATGCACGAATAATGGACAGGTGTTTGTTTTTTAAAAAATCGTCCATGTTCCCTTGTTTTGATAGTAGAGTCTTATTCTTAAATTTTCTTTTAAAAAAATTCAAGGGCACAGCTTAAAAAGATTAAAGTCAATTCTTTGCATAACTTACGTTTTTAGCCAGGAATCTACAGTACTTGCAATTCTGCATCCCAGTTCCTGACCATGTTTTAAGAATGTGATCACTTGATGAATGATCCAATATTAAAATGATCACTCCAATATTAAACATAAAGCCAACAAAACATTTTAAATAATGAGGGAAAAATATATTGACTCCAAGTCAGATTAAAGAATCGTGCTATTTAAAAATAAAAGGAAGAGTTTTGAAGGCCGACAGTTTGGGCAACATGCATACACATGTATATTAGCATTGCCCAACCTCCTCAAAGCCAAGCACCCTTTATTCTTCCTCCATATGCCACATGTTCAGAAAGATCTACTCCACTAAATTGCATTTATTAAGTAATGATTCATCTGCCCACTTAAACGAAAACAAAAACCTGCAATGTTTTTGTATATGCAATTGCCAATCAGAGCTTCCTCAAAACCTGAGCTAAGCTGTTGTTAATAGTGGATTCCAACCTAAAAAACTTGTGGTCTATTAATAATTGCATGTTTGTATGTTTCCACTGAAGCTTTTGGAAACTCTGAAAATTATTCCAAGACCTCCAAGCAAACTGAGGCACACGGTTTAGGAACCAGGGTTGGGAAGTGCTAGTATTTGGTATTGCTGTCTGTGTTTCCCTGTGACTGGAAGGTGGGAGGTGGTAGGGCAAGGCAATTCCACTTTGGATTCAGCCTGCCTGGGTTTAAAGCCCAGCTTTGTTGCTTACAAGGCCACTTTAGGCAAGTTAGCTAAACTCCCTTGGCTTCTTCATCTATAAAATGGGACTAATTTTAATATCAGTGCCTACCTTGTAGGACTTTTTAAGAATTAAATGAGATAATACATGTGAAGCATTTGCAGGAGTACCTGGTATTATGTAAGTGTGCTATGATTGTAGGCTGTTGTGGCTGCCATTAGTACTGGAAGTATTCAGAGTTCTGAGTTCCTACCATCCAAGCAGTGAGAATCATAGCTACTGTGTGTAAAACAACCTTTACACCCTAGAAATTTTCCATGGGTAATCTGCCAGGGTCACATGGTGAGTGACATAAAGGGATTGAAAGTCTGACTCCACATCCACTTTTTTGTATTGTTAACATGTTCCAGGTGGTACCTTGATCAGACTCTGTCAACAGCTTGTTAAGGGTAAAACCGGCTCTGGGTTTCCTAAGAGGCTTAGCAAGTGAATGGGTCTTTACATCCACTTGGGAATTCACAAACAGTGGCATTTCTTTCTTATTAGCGCCAAATGTTTCTCCAGAACTGACTAGATTTCCCCAAATTGTTATTAATAACTAAAATATCACAGCAACAGTTTTAAACAACACAGTCTAAAAATTACATAATCAACTCGTCCTTCAAAATTTTCCATCCTTCCTCATAACCAGTCACAGATTCTCTCTCTTAATCATTCTTCTGAGTGTGGGGAACTATCTGGAAATTTCCAGAAAGGGCCCAAGTTGTCATAATTATTTTCTTTTCTGCAAAAGTTTATCATTTTCAAGACCACTAAACATGATGTGTTTCCTCTATCTTTATACTACTACTCATTTCAATACAATTGCAAAAAAAAAAAAAAAACCCCCCCAAAAAAACACCCAAGACTTTCAAGATTATCTCTTCTCTTAAATTTCCATGAATTCTTCACCATTCCCACAGTATGGTTCCTGATTCTTTTCCACGGGCCTTTTCTAGAAGGTTTTCCTACCTCATTCATTTAATCGCCACACTGATTTTTGTTATCCTACAACTGCCTGCTTGCACTTTCTGACTAGGACTCTTGGCCAATTTAACACTTACTAATCTCTTCTCTTTAAGGTTTCAATATTATAATATATTAAAAGACTAAAGTATCTTTTTTAAGCCAACTTGCTGTCTTTGTTTCCTACTATTGGTTAGGAATCTGTTAACACATTCCAACTCTCATACTAGCAGCACTCTGTTAATTTAATTCATGGTTTTACTTTTTTTTCCTCTTTCCCTCAACCTGTGTTCTCACCAAATTCTGTAACTCGGCCTCCCCCAGTTTGGCTGCTTATCACTTTCCCTTCAAGCACTTTAAGGAAGTCTCTTTCCAAATCATTTTTTCTCATCTCTACTATGTTCTTGAAAGGCCACTTGTTGTGTGTGATGTGTGTGTTTGGTAGGAAATCTACCAAAGCCCCTGAAGAGGCAATGTTTAGAATAGGGGTGTCAACTTCCCATGCCTGTGGGAGCCAGGCAGATAAATGTGTGAAACTGCTTATGGGAAGTGGCATGAACTTTGGCCTGCAGGAGAATTCAAGTCCCACCTAAATGGGGTTGGGAGGTGGGGAATGGGGATGGTGGCTACTCAACCCTGGACCAATTGTTGCCAGGTGGCAGCACTTCCTAAGGGAGCCTGAATCAGGATTTTTACATAAAATCTATGAAATGTTGACTACTTAAAAAAAAAAAAAAGGAATATAAATCTGATCAAGTCTGTAGATGTAAACTCCCAATTTACAGGAACTCTCTGAGATAGAGAAACACATAAAACAGCACCAAGGGAGGTAATCACCGATTTCAGATAGGAGGAAACTCTACAAACAGTTTCTTCAAAAAAATTTTTACAGCAATAGCAAGGAAAAAAAGAGAGGAGGGAAACCTATAAATTAAATAAAATTTAATCGTGTCAGTTGCACTGTATGGACTTTATTTGGATTTGAGCCTTGAACAAATAAATTGGTTTTTTAAAAGATGACCTTTCATTTTTGAATGCTATGATGTTCTGCTGTTATTAAAGAATGATTGTTCTTTGTTGGTGTGGTCTAGTACTGTGGTTATTTTTCTTTTTTAGTAATCCACATTTTAAAAGTATATTTTAAAAGTAATATACATTTGTAAAACTTTTTATTTCAAAATACTTCAAACTTATAGAAGTGTTGCAAGAACAGTGCAAAAAAAAAAAAAAAAAGATTCCTGTATACTCTTTACCCAGACCTTCCTGAACCATATGAAAGTTACAGACAACATTCTCTTTTACCCCTAAATAGTTTAGTGTTTCTTTTCGGAGAGAAAACCCTTTTTCTTAGAATATTTAGCTTTTAGAGAATCATACTAAATCATACTAAAATATTTAGAAATTATACGATGTCTGAGATTTGCTTCAAAATAATACAGAAGGAGATTTACATGAAACAAGATTGGCTAGCAGTTGACAATTGTCAAAGAACTAACAAGGAGTTCATTAAACTAGCCTCTACTACATATGTTTAAAGATTTTCATAAAGTTTTAAAAGGTTATGTTAATAAAAGTATTTATTTAAAATGATATAAAATGCTTCTGCTAGGATGTTAAGTAGACAAGCAGATACATAGTTTGTCTACAAATTACTATCTCAACTATTAAAAAATACACCATGCATAGATAAAAGGCTGAAGGGATCCATGCCAAAATGTTCAACACTCCAAATTACCTCATAGTAGGGATATACTACTTTTATAATTTGAAAAAAAAAAAGTAATATCATTTTAAAACCAAGAAACAAAAATACTGGCAACTCATTCAACTAAAAACATTGTTAGAAGTGAAACAAACACACAGGTGGACTGAATCTGGCCAATAGGGCCCCAGTTTACAGGTTTCCAATTAGAAAATGGGCCTGCAAAACCCATTAGGTCCCTCGGGCCACATCTGGCCTGATACCTGTTTTTGTGTAGCCTATAAGCTAAGAATAGTTTATACGTTTTTTACTTATTGGGAAAAAATCAAAAGGAGAATATAAACATAGCTCGTTTTATTGCACTCCACTTTATTGGGTTTGTAGATACTGTGGTGGTTTTTTTTACAGGTTGAAGGTTTCTGGCAACCCTGCGTCAAGCAGGTCTGACTGGTGCCATTTTCCTAATAGCATGTGCTCACTTTGTGTCTCAGTGTCACATTTTAGTAATTCTCACAATATTTCAAACTTTTCCATTATCATTATATGTATTATAGTGATCTGATGTTACTATTGTAATTGCTTTGGGGTGCCATGAACCACGCCTATATAAGATGGTGAACTTTATTGATAAATGTTTATGTTCTGACTGTTCCACTGACTGGCCATTCCCTACCTCTCTTCCTCTCCTTGGGCCTCCATATTTCCTCATCTACAAAAATACTGAAATTAGGCTAATTAACCCTACAATGGCCTCTAAATGTCCAAGTGAAAGGAAGAATTGCACATTTCTCACTTTAAATCAAAAGCCTGAAACAATTAAACGTCATGAGGAAGGTATATTGAAAGTCAAGACAGGCCAAAAGCTAGCCCTCTTGTGCTAAGCATTTAGCCAAGTTGTAAGGAAAAGTTCTTGAAGGAAATTAAGAGTGATACTCCAGTGAACACGGAAATGATAAGAAAGCCTTATTGCTGACATGGAGAAAATTTGAGTGGTCAGGATAGAGGATCAAATGAGCCACAACATTCCCTTTAGCCTAAGCCTAATCCAGAGTGAGGCCCTAACTCTCCTCAATTCTAGGAAGGCTAGGAGAGGTAAGGAAGCTGCAGAAGAAAAATGTGAAGCAAGCAAAGGTTGGTTCATGAAGTTTAAAAAAGAAGCTGTCTCCATAACATAAAAGTGCAAAGTGAAGTAAGTGCTGATGTGGAAGCTACAGCAAGTTATCCAGAAGATCTAGCTAAGACAATTGATGAAGGTGGCTACATTAAACAACAGATTTCCAATGTAGACAAAACAGCCTTCCACTGGAAGAAGATGTCACCTAGGACTTTCATAAATAGAGAGGAGAAATCAGTGCCTGGCTTCAAAACTTCAAAGGACAGGCTGACTCTCTTGTTAGGGGCTAATGCAGCTGGTGACTTTAAGTTGAAGCCAGTGCTCATTGACCATTATGAAAATCTTAGGGCCTTTAAGAATGATGCTAAATCTACTCTGCCTGTACTCTATTAATGGAACAACAATGACTAGATAACAGCAGATCTAGTTTAGTGAATATTTTAAGCCCACTGTTGAGACCTACTGCTCAGAAAAAAGATTTCTTTCAAAATATTACTGCTCATTGACAATACACCTGGTCATCCAAGAACTGTGACGGACATGTACAAGGAAATGAAGGTTGTTTTCATGCCTGCTAACACAACATCCATTCTGTAGTCCTGATCAAAGAATAATTTTGACTTTCAAGTCTTATTAAAAATATATTTCATAAGGCTGTAGCTGCAATAGACAGTGATTGCTCTGATGGATCTGGGCAAAGCAAATTGAAAACCTTTGGGAAAGGATTCACCATTCTAGATGCCATTAAGAACATTCATGATTAATGGAAGGAGGTCAAAATATCAACATCACCAGGAGCTTGGAAGAAGTTGGTTCCAACCCTCATGGATGACTTTGAGAGATTCAAGACTTCAGTGGAGGAAGTAACTGCAGATGTGGTGGAAACAGCAAGAGAACTAGAAGTGGAGCCTAAAGATGCGACTGAATTTCTGCAATCTTATTATAAAACTTGATCAGATGAGGAGTTGCTTCTTATGGATGAGCAAAGAAAGTGGTTTCTTGAGGTGGAATCTATTCCAGGTGAAGACACTGTGAACCTTGTTGAAATGACAACAAAGGAGATATAATACTACATAAATTTAGTTGATGAAGCAAGGACAAAGTCTGAGAAGACTGACTCTACTTTTGAAAGAAATTTCTATTGTGGGTCAAATGCTATCAAACAGTGCCACATACTAAAGAGAAATATTTTGTGAGAGTCAATAAATGCAGCACACTTCACTGTTGTTTTATTTTAAGAAATTGCCACCCCAACCTTCAGCAACACAACACTGTTTAGTCAGCAGCCTTCAACATCCAGGCAAGACCCTCCACCTGCAGAAAGATTATGACTTGCTGAAGGCTCAGACATCGGTAGCAAATTTTAGCAACAAACTATTTTTAAACTAAGGTATAAACATTTTTGTAGACATAATGGTATTATACACTTAAAAGACTACAGTATAATGCAAACACAACTTTTACATGCACCGGGAAACTAAAAAGTTTGTGCACCTTGCTTTATTGCAACATTTGCTTTATTGAAGTAGCCTGGAACCGAACCTGTGATATCTGAGGTATGCCTGTATTTCATGATGTGAAAATTATATGAAATGCAGATTTCAGAGTTTATAAGTGAAGTTTTTTTTTTTTTTTTTTTTTTTTTTGAGACGGAGTCTCGCTCTGTCCCCCATGCTGGAGTGCAGTGGCCGGATCTCAGCTCACTGCAAGCTCCGCCTCTCGGGTTTACGCCATTCTCCTGCCTCAGCCTCCCGAGTAGCTGGGACTACAGGCGCCCACCACCTCGCCCGGCTAGTTTTTTGTATTTTTTAGTAGAGACGGGGTTTCACCGTGTTAGCCAAGATGGTCTCGATCTCCTGACCTCGCAATCCGCCCGTCTCGGCCTCCCAAAGTGCTGGGATTACAGGGTTGAGCCACCGCGCCCGGCCAAAGTTTTGAGACACAGTCACAGTCATTCATTTCTGTATCTATGAATGATAGTATATCTATCATTATTACTATACTTAATAGTACATATTGTTGTACTTTGAATTTCATCAATACAAAATTTATGAAAATTTGCTTTGTCAATTGTTATATAAATACCTATGAATTATCTTCAGTTTTGCCTTGACTCACTGTTAAATTAAATGTATAGGAGGCCATTGATTTAGACTGGCTCCTGCACTAAGCCCCAAGAGACCAAACCAAAATGGAGTCACTCACGCTAAAGTTCCACATCACCAAACTGAAATGAAGTTGTTTATCTGACTTGAGAAATTAGGAGAGAGATAATAGGCCAATTTTAGTCAGAATAATAAAGAAGTCCCCTCTGCTTTAATCTTTATAAGGAAAACTACCTGCAGTAACCTGATGTTAACCAATCTGCTTTTTGTATTATGTTATTTCCTTATAACTGCCTAAGCTACCTTATGAAAACCAACTGTTCTGCCATGCCCAACAGAGTACCTTCCTATTTCTTATAGATAGCATGTTGCCTGATTCACGAATTGCTAATAAAAACCAAGTAGATCTTTAAACTCAATTTGTTGAAAATTTGTTTTTTTCATGCCATAAAGCCAAAGTATTTGTTGTCTGACTCTTTACAGAAAAAGTTTGTCAGCCCCTGGTTTAGAACTGGCCTTTCCCTGTGACCTCAAGGCAGCTTTAGTAGAAAGAGCACTGGTCTAGGAGTCACGCATGGTTTCATTCCACCACTTAACTCTCCGAGAGACCTTGAGAAGTCCCATCTTCTCTGGGCCACGGTTACCTCAAAGATAGAGTAAAAAGAGTAAAATCAACAAGGCAACTGAAACTTGTAGTTCAGATTCCCATAAGAGCTTAGCAGGAAGTACAGGGATGACACAGCGCTAAATGCTGGTATGCCAGCCAGGTGTGGTCTCCTGGAGACCAAGCGATTTAAACAATGAGAATATCCTTTGAGGATGGCTCCACAGGCACTCAGACCCGGGGCTGGATAGGCTGGTGAAGGAAGGAAGAGGAAGGCTCTGGGGGTTCCCAAAGCAAAGTAGCATGCCTGCAGTGGGCAACCTGACTTTGGGGAAAATAATTTCCAAAATCTGCAGTGTACAGCAGGTATTTTGGGTAGGTCGTCGGTCTGTGCTTTGTAGAAGACCAAAAGCACCTGATCACACAACATGAATAAAAAGTCTGCTTATTTCATTTAATGTTTAATTCAGACCTAGTATAGGAACAGGGAGGAGGGTGGTAGGGGGTGGTGGGGAGTTGTGGTAAGGGGGCCCTCTGGCATCCTCAGCATGTAGAACAGGAGACTTGGGATAGAAATGGAAAGTTCAGGCTGGGTGCAGTGGCTGACGCCTGTAATCCCAGCACTTTGGGAGGCCGAAGCGTGCAGATCACGAGGTCAAGAGATGGAGATCATCCTGGCCAACACGGTGAAACCCCGTCTCTACTTAAAAAAATACAAAAATTAGCCGGGCGTGGTGGTGCTTGCCTATAGTCCCAGCTACTCAGGAGGCTGAGGCAGGAGAATCGCTTGAACCCAGGAGGCGGAGGTTGCAGTGAGCCGAGATTGTGTCACTGCACTCTAGCCTGGGCGACAAAGCGAGACTCCGTTTCAAAAAAAAAAAAAGAAAAAAGAAAAAAAAAGGAAAGTTTATATGACTCTGCAGTAAATCACCTTTAAGGACATCAATCTCTAAGCACTTCACAATAGGCAACATGGGGCAATTAAGTAGCAAGGCCAACATTATGAGTGAAGCCCAGAGAGTACATCATAGCACCCAGTCTATATG